TTTACATTTAATTATTTCAATATAATAAATTTTAAATAATTACATTATATTATATTATTATATCTTATTATTTAAATATAAATTAAAATAATTCATTATTTTTGCAAGTAACTCAGTATTAACCCATTGCACTCCGAATTATATTTCAATTTTCTTTTTAGCAGATTCCAATGATTTGAAATATTTTATTTAAAATATACTTTAATTGAAAAATATGATAATTTAAATATATATATATATATATTGTAAAGGAAGAAATAAATAAAATAAAACGTCCATTTTATTTTCATTATAATATAATTTTATAATTTTCAATGTTATAATATATTTTGATGTAAAAACCGATATCGAGTCACACTCGACTCGACATAGGACAGTGCTAAGGATTAAAAAAAAAGGAACAAATATAATCACCAGTTGCAAATGTGTTAACAATTATATTTTCAATTGTTGTCTAGGTAGATTAAATCAATTGAAATGATGAAATCTAATATTATAATTCATAGAATTAAAATGAACAAGAAAAGCAAGAAAAGCAAGCAAGCAAGCAAGGTATAAACTCTTTTGTTGATTTTTGTATTTTGCAAAAGCAAAATGATGACAATATGAGAATAACTTGACTTGAATATTTCATCAAGTTCTACTTTTGTTCTTTTTCTTGTCTACTTTACCATAGTTTTTAAAGGTTAGTCATAAAATTGCATTGTAGGTGAGAAAAGATGAGAGAGAGTGAGAGAGAGAGTTGGTTTAAGAACTCGTTTTTCTTTTGCGTTATATCTCATAGAAGGCAAACTTTCCTTTTGTGCTTGCATCTTTCGCCTTTCGATCGTATAAATTTGAATAAGTTTCAAGCATAGAAGATCAGATCTATGTTTTCTCTTTCTCTCTCTCTCTCTTTCTTTCTCTCTTTTTCTCTTTCTATACTCACCTTTCATTTTATTTTCTTTCCTTTTTATTTTTTATTTTTTTTTTTTCTAAGCAAAAATGCATCGGAATGCGTTTACCACCCTTCGTTTCGTTTCGTTTCATTTCGTTTCATTTCGTTTCATTTCGTTTCATTTCGTTTCTTTATCGAAGAATTTTAATCTCGATAGCAACTTTAATACTGTCATTTGATATTTTGATTAATCCTTTTTCTTGATTATTACTTTAACACATGTTATTTAATAATTATTCCATGTCATAATGATTAACTCGTTAATTGAACGAGTACAACCGGTTTGGTTTCATATAAAGTTATGATAAAAACGGAAATAAGTTACTAATGGTGGTTATACGTATGGGGATGTGTGTATGTGTGTGTGTGTGTGTGCGTATGTAATATGTTTGTGAATACATCACATGAAAAAAAAAAAAAAAGAAGGAAAACAAAAATAGGATATTGAGATGAAATATGTTTAATATAATTTGTTGACATATTTTTCTAGAAAATCATTTTTCTAACTTAAAGTATTCTATTCTTTGAAATAATTCAATCAGCAATAGATAAATATTTCTCCATAAAGTATTAAATAAATATTATTTTAGTAGTGTTATTACTAAATGTTATTACATTAAGTAAAAATATTAGTTAAGTATTAAAAATACATTAACAATTATATGAACATTTAACGAACGAGTCGAATCTGTTCTATTTTTCCTAGTTTTTGAGTATTTTTCAATAGAATTAAATAAACATTAATGTATGGATTTAAAATAGTTTTATTAAATCACACAATTACATTTTTTATAATATTTTATAAAACAGTATTTGTGTACCAGTATAACTGATGGTATATCATGAAAAAATAACAATGTGCATAAAAGAAAATCCTAATGCAACATACTAAAAAAATTCATGGAAAAACGTAGGATCTACGTGGCCCGTTCTAGAAAGTCAAAAAAGTAAAACGTAAATCTACGACGGGGCCCGTTCGTTAAGTGTTCAAAATATTTGAATTCAACATTTTGATATCCCATCTCAAATGAAAGCAATCTCATATGTGTGATACCTTCCATTTTATATTAAAGTGGGTTAACAATAACTAATCCTATTAATAATAATTTTAAATCGAACAGAAAAACATTGTTGTTTCTATGTTGGTAGAGGCTCATAATTATTCAACCTCACTTTATTTAGTCCGATCACACGTCTTTAAATAAACAAATTACCTTATACCGCCATCTGTTAGAATCTTATCGAACTAACAGAGATATAATCATGACTCTTTGTTAATAAACTAATAATTGGCGATTAATAAAATAATATTGGGATTATAAATTGAGATATAAACTATCCTATCTTTTAAGTTGGATGAAACTGCACACAGTGTGCAAAATTTTATTAAAATTGGTTCAGTAGTTTAGAAGTCTATTGCGGACAAACAATATGACACGTAATTTATATATATTAAGAAGAAGATATATAAAACCATAATTTCCATGACTGAATATTAAAAGGAATCTATGCTGTAAATCCTATGAATTAAATAATAATAATAATAATTAAAATTAATCAATATTTGTAATTATATTATGATTAATAATATTTGTTTACATTTTGTAATAAAATTGTAAGACAAGTTGTTAGCGAATATATATTATGATTATTATTACCTAAATTCGATAAGTTTTTTGTAAGGGAGAGAGAGAGAGAGATAGACAGTGTGGCTACTTAACGTACCTTATCATTCTACGTAAATTTACGTAGTAATATATGTGCGTTTAGATACGTTATCGAAGCGTCTCGTAGAAACTGTCTCCAAGGTAATGTATATATCGATCCACGTCCTCCTTTAAACACCAAAGCTACTGTAGTATATAGACGATGCCATTTAAATGCTATTGTAAATGTTCTGATAATTTGCATATTACATTGGCAATAAGAGAAAGAAAGAGAAAGATATATGTATATATATATATCTCTACTAGCACAGAATATTGAAAAATATTGAATACGTGTGTATGTAATATTAAAAAGACATTAAGGGTACCTTCTACTCTGAGCACCTAAAAAAAAGGCTATTTTCGCGAATTTTTTCCAAGAAAACTATAAAAGATATCGATMTAAAAGTTGTTGGGTTTGTTAAATTGAGTCTTAAACTATATAAATGAATTTTTATTTTTTCATTTTAATTAATTTTTTATTGCAAAAACAGTAGTATAAAAAAACACCT